CTTCTCGTTGTTATTGAAAGCAATCCCGATCGACTTGTTCCACTTTTTGAGCAGGTGATTTCTTTGTTGTGAAATGTAACTGCCTTCAGTTTTTTCTTCTGAACTCTGCGCCTCTAATGTATACGAGCTGCTGTCATATACATGGACGCTGTTCAGTTGCTGTGGTATGGTCTTTTACACTGTCTCGGGTACTATTCGTTGGCTAGTGGGTGTGGCGCCGTGACGATTGACGCCACTGTCACATGCATAGTCGGGGGCACTGCTCCTGAACATTCTCTGAACCCAACGCCCATCGGTTGTAAGTGAAGTGAACAACATCGTTTAAAATTTATCTTCTTATGTAATCGAAAATTTCCTGTTTAAGACGAAAATTTCCTACTTCTTTCTACAGTGGCTAAAAAATCTTCCAGCATCCTTCGTCCCGTCGTTATCCAGAGACTGCTCCTTGACAGGTCATGTTCCACCCCCGTTTCTCCATTACGACTTTAGGGGCAGTGCCTGTACTTTCTGGCTGTCGAAGGACGTTAGCAGTGCTGTAAATTTTGCATTTAATATAAATACGTGCTACTTTCAGTTCCGGCGAATTTTAGTTGATACAGTGGATGAGAATATCAGTGAAAAGTCATTGAAAAGACACTGCCTTGGGCTGCTGCTGAAGCTTGTCAATAATTATATTAAATGCGATAAGGTTAATAATTTTTGATTAGTTTTTGATTGATATCTGTTTCTAGTGTATACCTGTGGGAAGCTGATATGAACTTATTAGAGGTGTGTGGGGCAGTGTTTTGCGATGGGATGATTTGTGCATGTGACAGTTAAATAACTGATTTGTACGTCTTTGATCAATATTTTTATTCATTTTTGTAGACGCAAGCGGGAATAATTTTGGAATTCTGCCTTTCGATGCGTGATAGCTTATCGGCGATGCAGCTGGCCTCTTGTATGCAAGTGATTGCCGCACTAAGCAATCTCTGTGTCGACTTCGCAACGCAGAGTAATTTTCTTTCTAATGCTGCACACGACGCAATAAATTATTTACTTCAGCCAGGAATCCAAACGTAAGTAATCACAGGTTTTCATTTTTTTCTAAATTTTTAACTTTTTTCTTATCGATTTGTGCGGCACAGTGGTAAGCAACACTATTCCTATGCTGAAAATTGTGGTTCGAATTTGCATGTAGATTAGCCAATTCCTCTACAATTCGTCATTCATTTCGGTAGTAATTTGGCACCGATACTTCTCAAAATCCGCCATCACGTTTCATGAATGTAAGCAAATCTCAAAAGGAGAGGCCG